AACCTTGCCATGCAAACCCAATACAACTGTCTAAGTCATGCCAAGGGCAGTAACAGCTTTCATTTCATTTCATTTCATTTCATTTCATTTCATTTCATTTCATTTCATTTCATTTCATTTCATTTCATTCTAACAATTTAATGCTGTCAGATTGAGAATATTTTCTGTTAATCCAATTATGTATTTTTAGATGTCTTGGTGGGCTGGCAAAAGCAGCGATTTAAGAGAAATGAAATGAAAATCCAGTCCTTAAAATTTTTCATTGTAGTTACAGGAATAAGGTATTGCTATGACTGGAACGACTAGAAAAACAATGAGAAGAATAATAGCCATTTTCTGCTTCTGGTGAGCTGATGTTAGAAAATGCATGAGGTCAGTTTTCTGTGTATATGCAGATGTAATTATTTGATGGTGTGCTGCTGGGGCAAAGCACAGTATGGGAGGATTTTGAGAAACCCTGTTCAGAAATCAGTCCTGGTATGTTTTGTGACTCAAGAGTTACAGTTCCTGTGATGTGCACAAGCACAAATGAGCACACAAAGAGGCTAGAAACAGTTATCTTCTTACCTACTGCTAAAATATACAGTATTTTGAAATGTTCAAGTGGAAAGAAAGCTAGACAGCCTCACAGGATTTTTCTCAAAAGCTAGAAGACTGAGAGTGCTTTTCTTAATAACCTCAATAAGCACAGGAGGTGTTCAGACTATAAAAGGATAGTAGCAAGAAGTTCTCATCTCTTCATGATTTTTACATGAGATGTGTTTGCATCATCCTACAATACTTAATAGTATTCACTGTTGTTTAGTGTGACAGTGCTCGAGTATGGAAGATTTCTGACTTAACTATTTCAAAATTTATCAAAATCTCTGCCTGTTCTGCAGATGTCTTTTCCCTAGATTCATTCCCCTCTAACCATGAGCCACTGTTAAGCAAATATCTTGTTCCTTCTGTCGCAGGTGTGGACATTGTCAACGTCTCCAGCCAACTTGGAATGATTTGGGAGATAAATACAACAACATGGAAAACCCCCAGGTCTATGTTGTTAAGGTGGATTGTACTACAGATACACCACTGTGCTCTGAATTCAGCGTCCGAGGATACCCTACGTAAGTACAAAAGGATGTCTGCTCCTATTTTTTCTGGTTTAGTTTTCCATGATCCTCTGCCAATTTGTTGAAGCTAACTTCTAAGCTATATTTTTGGATGGGTTTCTTTGTAGCCCTTTGGACCTCATAGGGTCATTTTAAGCCTTTTTACCATGTTGCCAAGTATCATGAGATACATACTACTCTTACTTTGCACGTTTTTTTAAAGAAAGTCTTGTGTGTCTTGGAAGATGGCTGTGTTTAAATGAAACCCAGATTTGTCTTTTTCTTTGAGAGTGCCTCTTTCTCCAGCAACAGTACATTATACAGCTGAGATATGCATGATAGAGCTGGTCTCTGGTAACAGCATGTTTAAAAATACCTTCTCACAAGTTCATCAGTACATTGTGCCATTCACAATTAATGTGTAGGTGATCTCTTAAATTTTTGAGTGAACTTGGTGCTCATATAATGATAAATTAATAGTATTATTCAACATAGCAGTGGTGATGTTGTACAACCTTTTTCTAGGTAATTTTGCTGATATTTTTCTAGGAGAAATTCAATGGGAGACTAAGGTTGTTAAACTTACTCTGTTATAAAAGATGTATGCCTTACTACCTCCGCTTTGGTAGGTGGAACATGATCTGGAGTATCTGTGAGAGGTCAGCATGGATAGGTCAGCTTTTGGGTTAGGTATGCATGCTCTCTTTTTAGCTGCCAAAAAGGAGCAAAGGGGTTTTTTCACTTGTGTCTTCTTCAGAGCTTCAAAATGGACAGGCTCATTTGACCTGCTTTACTAATTACTCATCTTAGTGGGGATAAGTGGAGAATGTAATGATCTGTAGCCCATCCACAGCATGTGTTTTTAAGTTTCACAGAATCACAGAATGGTAGGGGTTTGAAGGGACCTCAGGAAATCATCTAGTCCAACCCCCCTTGCTAGAGCAGGATCACCCAGAGTAGTTCACACAGGAACACGTCCAAGCAGGTTTTGAATGTCTCCAGAGACTCTATGGTCTCTCTGGGCAGCCTGTTCAAGTGCTCTGTCACCCCCGCAGTGAAGAAGTATTTCCTTCCCTTTGCTCACTGTTGACCCCAGCAACAGCCTGAACTTGACATACGCTCCTGGCTGCGCCCACTTTGATGCAGATGAGTGTGACTGAGTAGAAGTTGAGAGTTATAAATAACAAAGTCCTTAAGGGCAGTTTGTGGTTTGGTTGTGCTAGAAATACCAAGAAACAATGACTATTACAACTCTATTTTAATATCCCCAAAAGTGAGCATTGGTAATCTTTGCACATTTGAATAGATTGTGGTGTTGTTCCTTGTAAAATAGAGAGTGGCAGGGATTTCTGAATAAGAAAAAAAAAAAATGAATGAATGGATGTGTAGTTACCTCTTTTTTTTTTTGCCTTCCCCCTCTTTAAGGTCATTAAATATCTAGGAGTAGTCAGTGCTTGCTTTCATCTGCTTGAAAAGTATAAATGATAAGGCAGTCATCTGCTAGTTATAGAAATATAGAGCTGAAGGGGCATTCATGATATCAATTCTCTTCCTGTCTGAGTCAGTTTTTAACTGGGCTGTTTTTAAAATCCTCCAGCAAGGGAAATTTCCCAGGTTCCTTGGGCACATAGGGATTGTTGCAAATCCAGGATGTGCTGGTCCCTGCACAGCCTTTCCAAATACCCGTCAAAGGAAAGGCTGCATCCCCTTTCCATCCCCCTGAGAGTAAAAATGGCTGGGCAGATCCCCACGCTCGTTCGTACAGTTGTATCAGGATTATTTGGTGCTGCAAAATATCTGAACGAGAGAAAACTTACCCTCATTTGAAGAAAATAAAGGTACAGCTGACTCTTTAAGTTGATACCTTTCTTTTTTCTTGTTACTCTTCAGAAGTATTGCCATGAGGTGCATTTTAGATGTTCTTCTATTTCATTTTTGTTGTTTCCTCCTTATTACAGTTGCTTTTTTTTTTTTTTTCCTCAGAAAAATTTTGACTTTCTGTCATCACAAGGGACATTCAAGAATACATTAAACAGAAAAGGCAGTGGGAACTCCTGTCTCTTTTGAATGTATTTGCATTATGTGGTTTTTTCAACACTTTCATATATTCATTTTTTCCAACTGTGGAACAAGAAGAGAGAGAAAAGCATTTAAAGAAAAAGCAGTAGCACATGACAGCTTGGCAAGGGGAACAGAGGACGAGGTGACAGTAGTAACTGAAAGTATTATTTGCTTTAAAAAATAAGACTAGGTCAGAGTTGATATTGCCTCTTAATCAAGTGTATTTCCAATTGGAACTTAAATATTTAATAGTAGAAGCTTTAGGTAGTTTATGGAAAAGTTTTGATAGCAATTATTAAATGTTGTAATAATGAAGTCTTGAATCCCTACAAGTGGTCGCTTACCTCCCTGTCCTATTGACGTGTTTCAGCATATTTTTAATCAGTTTAATACCACCTGAAAAGTCCTACATGCCAAGAGTAGTCAGGGAATGAAATGTGAGAAAGAAATTTCTCGGAAAATAAGCATTGGATATTTTTTCTTTGGTGATGGAGAGAGGTGAGCAAAACAAAATTGATGCTTTTTGACAACCTGAAATAGGATTTGTAGGCATAATGAGTGATTAGCCTTAGAACTGAATGCTGTGATGTTTTATTTGCTCTTATTGATCAGAGTAAAAACAGGCTATGTTGATTTTTAACATGGTATTTCTTTTTGCTATTTTAAAAATCCGTTTTAAAAGCTTACATGGTTATGAAAAAGTGTCCTGAGTTCTAACCATGACTCTTTAAGTTGAGGGAGATGCCTGATGCTGATGTTAATAATCAAGGGAGCTGTTACTGCAGCCTGAGCTGCATCGCTGTGGATTAGCAAACCGTGTTGGCTTTCTGAAGAAGAATGTTTCCTGTGTGAAGATTTTTGCCTCACTCTTTTCTATGTTTTGATCCTTTAGCCTGAAGCTGCTTAAACCAGGACAAGAGCCTCTGAAATACCAAGGCCCTAGGGACTTCCAGGCACTGGAAAACTGGATGTTGGAGAAACTAAATGAAGAACCATCTGTAAGTGAAAAGGAAATAAGAAAAGGAAATACTCCCTTCTGCAGACTTGTTTATCTGTCATTTCTATAGGTTAGGTTTCATTTTCCAGGAGGAAATTTGCTCCTGAGAATAAAAGTCAGGTGGCAGTAACAACATGGAACAGCTTCCACATAAGTCAGAACAGTAATTAAAACTGTCATCCTGTGACCTGCCCTTTATTTCCTGTATTTAAAGCTACACTCCAAAATGCAGTTTTGAATGTTTAGCATTAAGATACAATGTTTAGTGTCAATTCATTTGATACCTATAAGCTATGATGTTTCTAGAATAAGAAAAGCAATTTAGCTGTAATATGTTCTAAATTGCATTTGAGTTGGGCTTAATTACCTCTTAAAACATGGATGCCATCTTTAGCTCAGTTATTATCTGATAATGTTGTAACCTAAATAATAACATAATTGGCTAGGTAAGTTAAGCTAATACCATCACTAGGGAAACCCTGGAGTTTAGGGGTAGCATTTACATATGGTAGCCTAGCCTTACCTAAAACTAAATTTGTGATTGCTGTTTCTAATCCCGATAAAGCTTTAGCGATTGCTGAACCACAATTAGAACGTGATTCTATTTAAAAAAACATGATACTTCTAATAATTAAACAATAAATGCTAAAAAATGTACTTTCTTTTTTAAGAAATGTACCTTCTTAAAAAATTCTTTCCAGCTCTGACCCTAGTATCTAGAAAGTAGTCACTTGCTTCTGCTGAAGTGCCAGTGGGTTTGCTGCAAGTTATACCTATGAAGCGTTTGCTCTTTTCCCATGTTGCTGCCTTCATGTAGCCATTTGGTCCCTCTTTCTGGCATTAGGGGGACAGAAAATAGCTTTTTCACCAGCTATTTTTAAATTGTCCAAAGACTGCTGAGAGTGATGCAATGGCTGATGCATGATGCTATCACTACGACAGGAATCAGATATTGTGTATTTACTCTACAAGACAAATAAAAGTTAATTTTTCTCGTTAATAGGATCCAGAATCTGATGTGGAACCACCAAAAGCCCCTGAACCTAAGCAGGGAATGTATGAACTCTCAGCAGACAATTTCAAGATGCACATAGCAGAAGGTAACTGGTTTTTTTCATAATCAAGAGATACTTGCTTGCAGAGACATTAACAGTGGGAAGTCTACAACAGAAATGTTAATTTTCAAGGTACCTCCTTCCCACTTTTATTTTCCAGTAATACCTAGTGGAAGAGGATAAAACTACAGATTATGCAAATGTCATAGAATCATAGAATTGTTTTGGTTGGAAAAGACCTTTAAAATCATTGAGTGCAACCATAAACGTAACACTGCAAGGTCAACCACTAAACCATGTCCTAAGCACCACATCTACCTGTCTTCTAAATACCTCCAGGGATGGTGACTCAACCACTCCCTGGGCAGCCTGTTCCAATGCTTGACAAACGTTTCAGTGAAGACATTTTTACCTAATATCTAAACTAAACCTCCCTTGGTGCAACTTGAGGCTGTTTCCTCTTGTCCTGTCTCTTGTTACTTGGAGAAGAGACCAAGACCCACCTCGCTACACCCTCCTTTCAGGTAGCTGTAGAGAGCAAGAAAGTCTCCCCTCAGCCTCCTTTTCTCCAGATTAACCAACCCCAGTTCCCTCAGCTGCTCCTTGTAGGACTTAGTCTCCAGGCCCTTCACCAGCTTCGTTGCCGGTCTCTGCACATGCTCCAGTATCTCAGTGTCTTTCCTGTAGTGAGGGGCCCAGAACTTAACACAGGACTCAAGGTGTGGCCTCACCAGTGCTGAGTACAGGGCGAGGATCACTTCCCTACTCCTGCTGGCCACACTATTTCTGATACAGGCCAGGATGCTATTGGCCTTCTTGGCCACCTGGGCACACTGCTGGCTCATGTTCAGCCAGCTGTCAACCAACACCCCCAGGTCCTTCTCTGCCAGGCAGCTTTCCAGCCACTCCTCCCCAAGCCTGTAGTGTCGCATGGGGTTGTTGTGACAAGTGCAGGACCTGGCACTCAGCCTTATTGAACCTCATACAATTGGCCTCAGCCCATCGATCCAGCCTGTCCAGATCCCTCTGCAGAGCCTCCTTACCATCAAGCAGATCAACACTTCCATGCAGCTTGGTGTCATCTGCAAACTCACTGAGGGTGCACTCAATCCCCTCACCCAGATCATTGATAAAGATATTAAACAGAGCTGGCACCAGTACTGAGCCTTGGGGAGCACCACTTGTGACCACCCACCAACTGGATTTAATCACATATTGCACGCCATGAGAAAGTTTAAGAACTGCACTCCACTTGGATGGCAGTAAAATTAAGGCCCCTGATCTTATGGCAGAAGCTAGTGGGGCTTGCTTAACTAAACAGCCTCTTTCCCCAAGTTCCTTGCTTAGTCACAGCCTTGCCACTCACTTTGTGTTTTTGCAAGTCCCGTTTTCTCTTTCCCAAGGTGCTGGTTTGTTGTTACTCCCAGGCTGCTGTTCTGGATAAATATAATCCACCTGCTTCATCCTTGCTGCCCCCATCCCACTCCAGTCTGGCCCCTGATTTGATATTGTTTAGCTTTCTTCCACCAGAATTTAATGTGGGGAAAACACCTGTTTGGTCATTTTAAAAAATATTTTGTCTGGAAGCTTTAAAATTAATGCGAGGAGTGATACCTAGCATGGGAAATTTCACCCCTCACATGAGCAAAATCTTACAATACAAACTTTGGGCTGCTGTTAAGAACAGCTGATCCTACCACTCTCTATCTCTTTTCCTAAAAACAAAGGTTGGATTGAATTGACTATTTGTGCCCCTGTGATACCACCAGTGAGGTAGATACTGGAGCTTCTTAAAGTAACCATTAACTGTTTAGAAATATTTTCCAGTGTAAAAGAGCATTTTGTGCAGCTAACAGCATTTCTCAGCCTGTGTGTCTTAACAGAATTACATCCATATTCTTCATGGATTCTTCTGTAAGCCATCAGGGAGATGCTAAGCATTAAACAACTTTACAGTCTGAGAAGATAGTTAAGTTTAGTGTATGTGTAAATGTTTTAATATTTTTATTCTGTATCCATTGGTATTCATAGAGGAGACATTCTCATGGCTGTGTCCAGTGGTTGAGCATGCTTATGATCATCTGTAAAGCTATTGTCCTCTCTTGACTTCAGTTACAAGAAGTTCAGTGCTTAAATTTATCAGGAGGCTTAGCAGTTCCAGATGGAAGATTGACTTTTGTTCTTAAAAAGTCTTCCTTTACCTTTTTGATGCTCTAAGGCAAAAAGAATTTAAAGGTTTTTTTCTATTGGGGAGGAGAGTATATCAGAGTGTGTGGTATAGAATAGCTGATTTTGACTGGATATTCTTATTCGTTCATGAGAAATTTCAGTTTGTGGTTTAGTTGACTAAAGCAAAAGCATGTCAATTAGTTGGCAAGTCTTCCATGTGCAGACCAGGCAAGTTAGAGTACACTATCACTGCAGTTTACATTTCCTAGTCTTCCCTCTGGCTTCTTTTTGTGAACAAGCCCTCAAACTAGAAATGAATTCTACTAATATCAGCTCCATAGCATTCCTCAAAGGATTATGAATAATTATGTTAAGAAGAGCTTTTCTCCAGCTGCTGGCATTTCCTTCAAATTAATTTGATTTTTTTGTTCCTTGTTTTAATTAAGTTAATTTTTATTTCATATTAACAGAGCTTTGCCTGGATATGTGCAAAATGGTTTAATCTTAATTGAAGGAAATTACTTATTCTGATACTCTGCAATTAAGATTATACTTTTAAATTAAACATTAGTAGGAGATAGTACAGAGCTTCTCCTCTCTATTTAAACACCACAAAAATCTACTAAAGGCAGTGATTTCTGAATAGTTGACATGAAAATACAAAGAGCAGGGCAGAAAAAGGAGAATGGAAAGCTGAACAAATTATTTAGGTAGTTCATGGACTTAATGCAGTGGTGTTTTCTAAGAAATATTTAAGTTGAAGTCTAATACTTAATTTCATTTATGCTGTTACACGTTCCCTGGTGGTTCTTTCTACCCTGTAATAGGGCAAGTGATTGGCATAGTAGAATTAGACATGGTAGCAAATAGGTTGAAAATGCCAGTTTTAATATATCATTTGTTGGCTTGAGGTTGTGACACCGTTTGGATTTTCAGGGAAGCTGGCAATGCTATGGGACTGTGTACAGTATGGAAAACCTATTTGCAGAAGTATTCTGTCCTGGCCTTTGATTCACAGTGTTTCCTATCTTTAACTCAGGAAATACCATGATGAATTTGCAGTCTGAGATTAGTACCTAGTCTTTAATTGCAGCCAAATTCATTCCAAATGAGTTCAATCTTTTTTTTTTTTTTTTTTTTTTTTTTTTTTTGACTTAAAAGGTAATCACTTTATCAAATTCTTTGCCCCTTGGTGTGGTCATTGCAAGGCTTTGGCCCCAACCTGGGAACAGCTGGCTCAAGCCTTTGAGCATTCGGAAACTGTCAAGATTGGCAAGGTAGGTGAAGTGCTCTTAGTCTGAAAACTTATTTTTATGAATAAATGCTTCAGCCAAGTATCATGGTTTTCGTGCTGTGATTTGCAGAGTATGCTTGTTTTGTTTGTCACCTCTTCAATCCTTTTATAGTCATGGTTTCTGTTTTAGTTTTGGGATGGTTATTTGTTTCACACGTCCGCAGTTGACAGCGGTCCCTCATTTTAGGTAACAGCTTGTCAGAAGCACTGCTAGCTGCCTGTGTTTCAGAGAGAACTGGGAATAAGTCTAATACTTCAGATGCAGGGAATAATATTTTGAGATTTTTTTTGTTGTGCTTCCCCTCTGTCAGAACTTGATAGACTTCAGAATTTATTTTGAGTGGGAAAGTGACTTCTAATTTGCTGTTTTCTTTAGCAAATGTCGGACCTACAGGGCTCTTTATGATGAATTATTTCTCCTTTTTTTCTCTTTTTTTTTCTTTCCTTCTTTACCCCCATAGAACTTTCTAAAGGTTTCAGGGGGTCTTCCACCTTAAAAACTGATATCTTGTCCTGCTTTACTATTTTCCTTAGGGTTGATAACCAGATTCTGTGGTGTATTTACCATGAGAGCTTGTTACTTGTACGTGGAGTGACTTCTTTGCAGAGGTATGGAGGTGGTCTGGCAATTGCAGTTACCAGCTTTGTTTGCTGACCCATACCTAAGTCCAGGTGGCTCATAATGTGAATCCCTCTGTATTTGCCAATGGTGGAAAATTAACTGGGCTCAACTTCCGTATCCTTAAGCTTTCAGAGTGGTTCTGCTGATCTGAAAGACTGTGTAACAGTTAGCAGTGTTGTCAGTCCTGCAGAAGGACAAAAGCCCAGCTGTCTCCCCTGCCTCTGCCCTCATAGTGCTTCCAGCTCTTCCTAGGGGTAATGAGCTTGATGACTTTTTGGTTTTGATTATTTTTATTTTTAATGCTTTGAACATCTAACTAATTCAGATGCACTGTAGATGTACAGAGCAGGTCAGCATAGCTGAATTTTAGAGAAGACATAGATATCTATAGTTTTGCCTCCTGGTGGATATAAAATCAGATTCCCTCTGAGAGTAAAATATCAGAGGTTATTGCTCCTTTGATAGTGTCTTTAGCAAATGTTGCATCTGCTGATTTATTTCTTGAGAACCAGGAATGCTTGCTGTCTGATAAAATCATTGCTTAGCTTAAGTATCTTCTTGAAGTTACCATTCTCTCTTATGCAGAGAAAGAGAAACAAAAAATTTCCAAAATTTCTGCTTTATTCAGTTTTCTGTCATGTTCACAGTTATTGTTACTGAAAGTTGCTATTTAATAAAGCCACTAGGATTTGTCTTGATGTCTAGTCAATTTTGTGTAACTGTATACCTTATGAAACTATTTGAAACATGTCTTGGCTTAGATTGTAAGTCTGTAAGTAAACAGGAAACACAACTGTTTCTAAGAAGGTTGAACCATGACCTTCATGTCGTCGGGGGGAATAGTGTCTTAACAGCAATGATACCTACTGGCAGGATGCTGTTTAATCTTTAGAACTGATCTTCAGTGATCTGGAGCAAAGTGTTTCTAATGTAAAATTCAATAGCCAAGTGCTGTGTCAAGCAGAGGCACCAATGCCTTTTTCTCCTTCAAAAAAGATTATAAACTGGTAACTTTACAGACTGGTTTATGACATATTAGAACTGAATGTTGCTATGTGCTTGGAACTTCCCTTGGAGTAAAGTTAACTTGTTAGCTGTTGACATGTTGTCTGAAGTCTTCAAAGAGTAGCCTTTTAAAAAATGGATGAGCCAATATATCTTCACTTTAAAGCTTTTTCACATTAGTGTTTTGTGTCTTATTGTCCATGCAGTGATTTTACTCACTGAGAATACCAAGTACTTTCTAATTGAAGTAGTTAATTATGTCTTCATTGTTCTTTGTAACTGTTACTACTTCCTTCTGTCCGTACCTCCCACCCTGATCCCTCCTTAAAAAAAACAAAACCAAACCACACAGACACACAGCCTCCCAGTTACACAACCAAACCACCGTTTGGAAAGCAGGCATAATCATTCTCAAGACAGTACATGATACAGAGTTTTGCCAAGCTCATTCATTTATTGCTCATTCCTGTATTTTTCTGAGATTTTAAACATAAGGGAGGCTATGATGCTTGTTGTATGTTGTATTTTATGCAATGAGTGGTTTATATTTTTCAAAATACAGGTTGACTGTACCCAGCATTATGAAGTCTGCTCTGAAACCCAAGTTCGTGGCTATCCCACACTCCTCTGGTTTAGGAATGGTGAAAAGGTGAGTCTGAAAGCTCAGCAAAAGATCAGGCCATTTTTTTTTCTGAATAATACTCAGACTATGTTTGCATTCTGGGGAAAAAAAGATCAAGTGGGCATATAGGAAAGTCTGCTTGTGAGACAAAAGGATGTTGGATGTTCAGTCTGGTACTGGAAGAGGTATCCTTCATCCACAGATAAAAGTTAGAGCTTTTTGCTCTTTGTGCTGTACAAATAACCAGTATGATGTTCATAAATCTGTAGGCAGTATCTCCAATTACACTACTGTGTAAGAGAATTCTGAGTGTACTTTATCTTAATACATTACCCCCTGTGGAAGGTACACAAACACATAGATGAATTAATAAAAAAATACGTAATTTTCACAGTGTGTATCAGAAGGTTCTCATCTCTAAGTGGTGGCTATCCTGCTGAGTGATGTCTGAGTGATGCAAATTTTCCTTCTTACAAATCTGAACACTTCATATGACACTGAGTGGGAGTGCTGCGGGCCCACTTGATGTTTTTACTTGTATCAATTCAAAGAATTACAATAATCTGAAGTTAGGGGAAGTAAAATATTTATAAATACAATGTATATGAACAGCAGCAAGTAAACATAAATAGTAGTGTTACTTATCATATGTTTCACACTTTGAATATAAATTAAATACATTAAATGGATATTAAAAATAGGTCTGCAAGCAGAGAACCTGGGACTCCTCTTTCAGCTCTTACCCGATAAGTTTTGGAGGGTTTTGGGGTTTTGCCCAATTCATCTTGTGTTCCTTTTTGAACATCTACTCTATCAGAGATGTAAGTTTTGCTGCTCAGTTCAGTTTGGTGGCTGTTGCTTGTGGCAGTTTTCTGGCACTCTGAAGTGACCATAAGTACCTGTCAGTGCCTGTGAAGTTTGATATGTGCACCCCTATAAGATCAGACACTTCAGGGAATTTAAATAAAGCAGGTTGAATCCCAACCTGATTGATACAAGAAATGCACAGCCTTGTTACTGCTCGAGCAGCAGTGCCTGGCACATGTCAGAAGCAGAACTGGAAGCTGAGAGAGTGCTCAGGTCAGGCATGGTGGCATGTCCAAGGTTAGAGGTGTTTTCAGTTATTTAAACTTCTGTCTCTAGATGGTGTGACTGAAGAACGGGAAGCGTTCGGCTGTTGCTCCAGAATGGTTTTTCAGCTGTTTTATTTTTATTTTTCAGATAGCTGCAGATGGCAAGATACCTTGCCAGAACTGTACTATCTTGACCTAGAAAAGTTAAAAAGGTTTTTCTCAACAATCCAGATCAATATTTTTTGACACTTTGTAATTATTGAATTTTGAGTTGCTCGGAGGTATTTGAATCAAAAGTGCAATGAAAGAAAAAGTCAGATTACTGCTGTTGTGTTTGGTAAAGCTGAATCCCAGCCATTAGTCTGAACAATCTATTTCTGTTGATGTCCAACTGGCTTTTCTCCATTGGCAGCATGGTATTCCCTGGTGGTATACTGCCACCAGAATCACGTGTTCCTTCATAGGCTGCTACCATATATTTTAAAAAAACACAAACCAACCCCAACAACTTTCCAATAATCTGACCCAGAAATTCCTGGAAATCTCTCTGGCTGCTATTGTGCTGTTCAGTAAGGAGGGGAGGAGGAGGAGGAGAGCTGCTTCAGCCATCCAGCATTGTTGTCTGTAACACCAGCATCCCATTTGTCGTAACTGAGGTCTGGCATTACACCATCCCTCTTGGTTAGACGCAGCAGACACCCCGGGAGGAATGAATGGGCACTGACCCTGCCCTGCTGAAATGGATACAAACAAGCAGGTACAGGCTTCTTGCATCATTTTAGATTAATTCCTTTG